ATCATATAAAAAATTAACAAATGGTAAAAAAAATCATGCTAAATAATGTTCAATTATTGGTAAATAAATTTTTTATTAAGAACTCATTGGAAATATTTTTAAAAAATAATTTTTAACATATGATCAGTCAAAATGAATTATAAATTAAATTATAATTTTTTACTTAATAAATCAAAATTAAATTAAAATAATAAATTAATTTATAATATATATGTTATAATCTATTGATTTCAATAAATTTACAATGTGAATTTTTTCATAAAAAATTTGATATTTACTTCTAATAGAATTCAAAATTCAAAATAGAATTTGAATTCAAAATAGAATTCAAATCCAAAAATTGAATTTAATTATAATATAATGGAAAGATAGATTTAAATTTAAAACTCTTATATAAAAAGAAAAGAATCTTAGAAATTTTTTCTTTCAAAATATATAATTACAAGAGTTTTAAAATCACAATTCAAAGTTAAAATTATATATATATTTAATTTTAAAATATAACAATGCAGATAAAAAATTGAAAAAAAATTAAATTCAATTTTTGTATAGATTTACTGGATTACAATATATTAAATGATTATTTAATATTAGTGTAGTATTAATGACTTCAATGTATGTATATTGTTTGGATTTATTAGGTTTAAGTTTATGTTCAATAATTTAAGTATTCGCTATAAATAATCAAACGAAAAAAAAAATCAAAATTTCACTTGAAAAATTTTTAATGTTAATTTATATGAATTGATATGAATTGTTTTTTAAGATATAAAAAATACTAAATCTCTTACGATATTCTGTTTTGTATCTTTATTCACGCATCTTAAGATTATAAATTTTCTTAAGATTTGTTCTATTTTTTTGATGTATTCTTTCCTTCACATATTTTTTCCTTTACATACTTTTTTTTCGTATATGTAAGTATTTATTAAGTATTTACATCGCATTATTAACGCGATGATTTTTTCTATCTCCATTCGCTTAAGATATTCAAAAGAGGAATCATTGATACACAGGATGAAATTTAGTTCATTATTGAATTTGGATGACTTCAAATTTCAAAAAAAAAAAAACGATGGAAACTTCGCAGATCGAAAAAAAATTTCTTTCGAAATTAGATTAATTATACATATATATTATATATATATATATATTATATATATATATATATATATATATATATATATATTATATATATATTATATACATTCGAGTTTTATTTTAAAGGAATCTATAATTTCTAATAAATGATTAACATTATCATTTAAAAATTATAACTTCATTTTGCCGTGCATTCTTACGAAACTTCTTACAAAATAATTTGAATCAACAGTACTAATGCACAATAGAAAACATAATAATCTTTTAAAATGTAGATATTTAGTATATTCGATTACATATATATATATTTATTAAAGAATGATTTCTTTAAATTCTTTAAAAAAATAAAACGAAAATTAAAAATTATGATTGTATTTTTCGTTTTGTTTTTTGATCATTGACAATTAAAAATTAATGAAAATATCCTTTATGTGCAAAAAAATATCTCTATATGAATAAATATATTTCAAATCTAATGACATATGAACACTAGTTTATCTCATATAAGTTATAGAAAAAAAGAAGAAAAAGAAAAAGAAAAAAATATTTAAGATTGTAAACGAATTGATATAAAATTTTTTAGAAAAAGTTATAAATTAAATATTAAATTTGTTGTTAAGGACAAAAAATCTGATTGAAGTAGCCAATTTCAATTTTTAATAACTTCAATTCAATATTTTAAGTTTCCAATTTTTTAACAATACAAGCAAATACAGTTCTCTAATTATTCCAGACTTCCAATAATAGTTATTTGAGAAATTAAAATAAAATAGTGATAGCATTTTATAAGCATTTAATAAAATTTATATATGCCAAATTTGTTGCAATTAACCATAGAAGCAATCGCATTCTATTTATAAATTAGTTTTCTTTCATCCCCTCTTAGTTACATTTTCGAAAAAAAATTATTGAAAAATGAAAAGATCTACAATAAAAATCAGAATTGAATCGCAATTAGAACTTACAGAAATTAATCAGATAATAATAGAAATTGCAAAAATCGATTAGAACTATACTTAATATTATAAAAATTTTACTTTCGCTGAAATGATTTTGATTACCTTTACAAGAATTATAAATTTTTTTTCTTAAATTAAACCATTTATTTAAAATTTTATGAATTTTTATACTATAATTTTCATATTAAGAGAATTTTTTTTTAAATAGAATAGTTTAGTTAAAAAACAGTAGTGTTGCAACGTAATAATGGAATCATAAAATCATCTAATAAATCTTGTGAATTATTTATGGATAGCAATTGCTTTCTATAACTGCAAGCAAAATAAATAATAATTTGTACAACATTTTTTTTTCTAAAGATTAATATGTTTTGAAATTTAGTCTATTTTATGACTTTACTTATGAATCGTTCATACGCAAATACATCGCGCAAAATTTCAGTTCGATCATTACTTGATGATTAATATGTAAAATCAATTTCTGCTATCCGTATATTTTTCATGATCAATTATCAATTTTCTTTCATCATTTCTTAACACGAGATTTAATAATTTATCAATTTGCATTATCTACAGTATACTCATTTTTTTATTTTCGCAAATCTTTCGTGGAATTTTGCAAGACAGAAACGAATTTTATCTGATAATAAAGCAATAGTAGATATAAAAGATATAATAAATATAAAGTTTTTACCTGTGGTAAACTCTATTTTGAATTTATATTTTTTACTAATGGTAAAATATATTTTGGTATATATTATGGTATATATTATGGTATATATTATGGTATATATATTTGGTATATATTATGGTAAATATATCTATATTTTGAATGAATTTTAATATTCATAAATTAATCAAATCGTAAATTGAAAGTCAAAATATGATGCAACAAGTAATATATTATTTCAATTTGTACTGTTCATATAATATAATATTAAATTTGCCATAAAATAGAAAATGGATATTTTCACATTTTCGATTTCTGTGATTTTTATATATATATATATACTACAAAAAAATATTTATACTATAAAAATCAATATTTTGAACAAATTTTTTTTAAATATATAATTATGATTCGACTCTTTTTTTTTATTTGTAAAAAATTATTGGTATCATACATTGAATTTTGTCTATAGCATATAAGTTTGCGTCTATAGCAGTGTACGCAGTTTGTTCACAATTCATATGCAAAATTGTAAAAAATATCTGAAATATTTTAAGAATTTCATGAATCCAGAGAATAAAATATAAAGCAATCCTTAGATTGAAATTAATACATTAACCGAATAATGATATATATTAAGCTATTGTAACTTTGATTCTCGAAAAATATTTATATTAGTTTTCGCATTATGGATTGGAAAAATTTCTGCATAATGTTTAAAATTATAATTCATAATATCCAAGCTTATATAGCTATATAATATATAATATCTAATATATAATATATATAATCTAATCATTGAACCGAAATTTTAAAAAAAGTAGAAATTGAGAAGAATTGTAAATATAAAATTTTAATTTATTAGTTATTATTCAATTTATATTTATTAGTTTCCAAAATTTTTTAATATATATTAATATTCAATATATTAATATAATATTGTAATGGTGATAGTGGACATAAGCTAATAGTTGTAGAATGAATGTTTGTAGAATGGTCTTCGATAGATAATAAATGGTATATTTTTTAAAGATAAATGGATTGTATTATGATTACATCTGCGATACGCGTGATTATAAGAGAGCAAAGTCTCTCACAATGTTACAGCAGGTAATTGTATCCGATGATCAAAGCATGTTTATAAATTATTTAATTATCGTATCCGGCAATCAGACTCTCTTTACCAGTGAAGTCTCGTATCCTTAGAAAATCTCTTTCTAGTTCAATAGAATTTCAGTTTTCCGATGGGGCACACTAATAACCAATAATATCGCAATCATTACCTGACTCGCGACACTCTCAAGTTCAAAGAAAACTCGAATTAGAATGATATTGGTTACCGTTGAATCAACCGTATCACTCTTGAAATCGGATTCCAGGCTGAAGTATATCAAAAATATACAATTATAAGTGTCGATTAAACTCTCAAAAACGACAGTCTTCTCAAATAACATCATCTCTTGTTTAAGTTTAATAAAAGCGTACGAGCGATAACAACAGAAAAGGACTTTTATGAAGAATTTCTTCAAACAAGTTGTTTATAAATTTCGCGAGCACTTATTGCTCGAGAACAATTAATGAAAATCTTTCGATATTGTATATTGAATACTATCTATATATATATAAATAATGTAAGCATCAATAATCACTTTTAATTTATTATTTCTAATAATAATAATAAATAAGAATAATTATATTATATATTAAGAATAAGAAAATAAGAATTTATTTTCGAATTATTTATAAAAAAAACTTATTATACATTGAGTTCTGTTTAGATACGCTCATAATAACAGTAATATGCGATTGTCATTTTTCAATAACAAATGATTGTATGATATTCCTATATATATGTCTATATATATATATCTTTTATTTTATTATTTCTAAACATGTATATAAAATTATAAATCTGTCTGTCAATAACCGATTATATTTAATAGATATATTATATCAGGATATAATAGATATATTATGTTCCATAAGTTTCTTTCTTTTTTTTGATACGAAATGAATATATGATATTTGTTGTTTAAAGTTTATTGCATTATATATGAATTGTTTCGCTCTATCACCTTCTTCCATCTCTCAGGAAGTTTCATTATTCTCTTTTTTCAAAATTATTGGGGTTTATTTGCAAAATATCGTATCTTTTTATTTCGCTTACGGATTGGAATCGTTTATCATAGAGAGAATTTTTTTAATAACAGGAACAAGTAATAATCGAATAGAGCAAGATTTTGGAAGTACAGAAGATGCTATAGAATGTGCTAATCAATCTGTAACAGTTTTTCTCTTATAGTCAATATAATATGCGGTTTTGCATTGTCGTGATGGCCTCGTCGGTTCGCTAATTTTGGCTGTTTTTCTGCTATGACGTCTTTTAATTTATCAAGCTGATCATTTTCCAAAATTGATGATTTCACCTTGAAAAAGGAGCTCATAGTAGACTATACTTTTCCAATCCCATCAGATGAATAAAAGAACTTTCTTCGGATGAAGTCCAGATTTCGCGACGAGTTGAAGGTCTGTTGTCCTTAAATCAAGTGCATTTTCGATGCACTTTTTGATATAAAATCCAAGTCTCATTTCAGTGATAAGTCTCTTTAAAAAAGGATCTCTTTCATGTCGCTGGAAAAAAAAACGTACGTTCATAAAGTCGATTTCCATCAATAGCTGTGGAACCCAAACTTCACATTGATTGACATATCCCATCTTGATCAGGTGATTATCTATCATTTTCTTGAAAATGTTAGTGACAACCACTATCTCTTGCACTATATCACGGATTTTCAGCGAACATGGCTTTGATAAAGTCCGTATTCATCGCTGCTGGGCGGCCGCTGTGATCTTCATCTTTAAAGTCAAAATCACCTCTAAATTTCTTAAACTAATTGTGGATGATCGTAATAGTTTACGGGATAGCACCACTCCCATAAACAGTACAAATCTTGTCTACAGTATCATTTGCACTATTACCTTTTTTAAAGCAATAAAGCATAATATGCTGCAAATGTTTTCTTTGGCTATTCATATTGAACGGTGTAGAAAAAAGTTTTAAAAGAGACTGTGTCAATGAAACATATTTTAAAAGAGCTCTGGGATGACTGAAACCGATGCCATAAACGGCTAATAGATAAATTTGCATGTTCGTATAAAAATAACCAATTAAAGTCATTCCTAGTGTAGTAAAAAAATTTATGGGACACCTAATATATAACATTATACTACTAATTAAAAGATTGTTATGATTTTTATGAATTTTAAAATTCACAAAATTTTATTAAGATATATATATATATATATATATTTATTAAGATATATATATATATATATTGATTGTAATTAAATTTGTGATATCATAAAGTATTAAAAAAAAAAATAGCATTAATGTGAAGTGAAATAAAGAAAAAAAAAATTATAACTGAAATTACAATATTTAATATATGATTCAGAAAAATATTAATTAAAAGTATTTTTGATATTTATGTGTTTTGATTAAGATTGAAAAATCTTATTCGTGCGATAGTAAATTTGTAGCGTTACTTTGGTTAAAGCTGAAAAATGATAGCAGAGTATGAAATTGGTTGGCTCGTATTTTCTAAGACAGTTTCAACTACAGGTATGAAAATATAATCTGACAAATTATCAGAGGAAGCAACGTTCAGCTGATACAGAAAAAGAAGAAGTAAATAGACGTGAATTAAAATACTTTTCAAGATTTGCTGAGAATAAATGAGAATGAATCAATAAATAAATTTCGGTGATAGTGATTTTAATGTGATATTATACTGGCTAGATTGTGTCTGAAATTAGATATGTCAATGACATTAATAAGACCGATTCAAACTGAGATCGTATTTACTATGATGTTTCCCTTATCGAAAAAAACTATACATATATAATTATTAATAATAATATAATACTATACATATATAATTGTGTAATAAATGAAAGATTGAAATTTAATCATGAAACCGATAAAGTCGATATAATCGACATATAATTAAAATGTTGATTTGATTCCAGAAACAGCTTCAATGAACGTAAATGTGAACATAACATTTAATTTTTGTCTGTTAGTAAGAAATTAGCAGAATTTTTCCTATTAGATTTTTTACTAAATATAGCGTTGAACAATCAACCTTATTGTAAATATTATTTGTGAAAATGTCGCAAAAGATTCTATGTTTTAAGCCATAATTAAATTTCTTCAATTTCATCATAGAAAAGATTCTGAAGCTCTTCGTTTAATGCTAAGAATGAAAAGGGAATTAGCTATAAAGATAATTTGTCATTGATGTATGTATATCAGTTTTCTATCCCTTTTGTAATTAAATGAAAGTCAGGACTAGGATTCTTAGATTTCTGAGACTAGTTAAGATTTTTGATCAATTAAAGAGTTGGAGCACATCATAGATTTTTGATGTTTATTGAATTTTAGATTCCCTTTTGCATACATTATCACGTTCAATGTCTTATTCCGATTTCGCGACAGGTTTTTGTTACTTTTTGTTGGCACGTGTCCATATTCGTACCATGATAGGATGAAAAAAATATTGTATTTTAACTTTCATAGACATCTTTGGATCGACAATTCGATTGACGATTTGTTGAAAAAAATTTCTGCAAAATTATCCTTGATCTTGAATTCCAAGGTCAAATTTTTTTATTATTGGATTGTATTCTATTGATTTAAATATGTAAACATTGAATTTAAAGATATAGAATATAATAGAGACACAACATTTTCTTCTACTCTATATTGTTCGTTCATAAAAAATGAAAAAAATATGAATATTGTCTCAACCTAATATGATATTTTTCATATCATATTTTTGTAATTAATCGAGACAATTATATCTACAAGTCGACAAAGAAAATAAATGAACATATCGAATGTGATTGAAATAGAGATTATTATTATTTCAATGCCTTATTCAATGCATATATTCATTTCATAATTATTGACAAAATAAAAATTTTATTAATTAGTTTTTTAATTTTTCTTATATGTTTAAAATATTATCATTAGTTTGATAATTAATTTTTTATTAAATCTTTTGAATGAATGAAAATAAATTCAAATACAATTTTGTACAAAATATTGAAATCATTTTATTTTGAAAAAATTAATTTATTTTATTTTGAAAGTAATTCGATTTAATTTAAAGTTTATTTAGTTATTTTCACCAAGATAATTAAAAAATATAATAGTTAAAAATATATTTAAAATAAATAATTTTAAAAGAGTTATATAATTTTTTTTTATATTATAAATGCTTCGAAGATTTATCAGAATTTGAGTTTTCATTCAGATTTAAATCTTCCAGCATTTTTTCTATCAATAATCTTTTTCACAATATTTTTTTTTCAATATTTTCAATTATTATTAAAAGAATTGAAAATTTAACAATATTTTTGCCATATTAGTAATGAAATTTTATTTATAGTTTGTCTTATATAATAATATTTTCTAATTCAATAAAAATTAATGCTACAATATTATTTAATTTTATTTTTATCTTGATTTTCATTAAGCTAATTCTATGCGATTTAATACACAGCGATAGCCTTAATACTTGAATACCGTGCAACTTCAAAATTTCATCAATTTTGTACATTTTTTCTTGATGCTTATTTGCCTCTATTAATTATATTAATTATTATCAGCGAAATATTATTTTTAATTAGCCAATTAATCATCACTGAAATACATATAATATAAATATTTTTTGAAATACATATAATATAAATTTATAATTAATTTATTAAGATGAAACGTTATTCATAATATTATTTTGTTAATAATAACGTTAATAATTTTATATATTTATTAATACTATTTTTATTAATATTATTGACATATAGTATTGGATATTAATTTTTTTTTTTATTCATTTTTCATTTCAAAATTCCCAAAATCTATTTAGCTGTGATAATTCCAATTTAAGTCTCTAACTTTAAAAATTAAATTTATATTTTCTATAAATTTGTTTTCTCTCGGTGTGATATTAAAAATTATTAATCATTATATGGGATGTCAAAAATATGAAAACACAATGGATTAAATTGAAGATTCTCGAAGTAATTTTAAGCAACATTTTCTTAAGTTATATTCTCTTTATTAACGAGTTATTAACAAAAAACATTGGCTAGTCACAAAGATCAATCGAATTGTAGCAGTAGTGTTGGCTATATACCGCCTAAGCATAAATTCAGACAATATGTCAAAAAAGTATATAAAAATATAAATGTAACAAATATTTTTGTATCGATACAAAAATTATATCGAATTATATTCAAGATCAATGAATAAATAAATTAATTGTTATTTATTAGGATAAATAAATAGAATAAATAAATTGAATTTATTCATCATTTAAAATGAATAATATTAAATTGTGATATAAAAAGATGAATATAAAACTTTTTTAACTTTTGAATTATAAATAATATATATTTAGAAAAAAATAAATAATACTATAATATTATATTAAATTAAAAAAACAATTTACTAAGTAAATAAATAAAATCATTCATCAAAAATAATTCATTCACCAAAAATTCAATTCGAATATTGAAATTCTTCCTTCTAAATATTATTCCTTAAGAATATTGACGATATTCTGATATTCTTTTTTAACACTAAATTGATTTTTAATAGATTTGCGTGTAATATTAAACTGATTATTAATAAAATATCACCAAAAGATAACACACAAAAGTAATGTATCGTCAAAATTTAGTTCTGCATAGTCATTAATATTAATCATTTTTGTAATCCAATAAGAGAATTGAATTTAATTTTTAAAATTTTTTTTTGCATCATGAAATATTCTATTTCTATTTTATTCTCATTATATTTTTTATTTATAAAATGATATTTTAATATTTTAATAAATATATCAATATATTTCTATAATTATTATTTATATTTATTATTTATTTATCAATTATTTATTAATAATTTTGCTTTTAGATTCTTATTCATTATGGTTTTTAATATATTTTTCAAATGAATTATCTTTTAACAGTATTTTGCAATTACTATATATTTATACTTTTTCATATATTAATATTTGCAAAACCAGAATCGCAGTATCTTATTAACTTTTCATTTCAAATTATTTTATTCTTCGAATAACTTATTCCTAGATCTTTGATATTCTGAAAATATTTTAGGATATTTTTAGCACATCATATAAATATTTATATTATATAAATTAATAATTAATAATATTATATAAATTAATTCGAAGAGTTTTCTAAAAATCCGTTTATATAATTAATATAATAATAATTATATAATAATAATAATAACAATAAAAATCTGAACATGTATTTTAGATATTATAATAAATTTTTTACCTAATTTCATGCCACTTAGATTTTATTTATATAGGTATTGGAATTTCCTTGAAATTTTCTATGTCATAAGTTTCAAAAAATTGTTTTTGAAATTTAAATTGTTTGTTTGTAAGTATAGCTTATTTAATTTAATCTTTACATTTTTTTTATTAATTTTTTTTTTGGTGGTGATAGCTAAAAAATTTTCAAAATTATTGTAAATTTTTACTTCAACTGTTAGTTGTTTTATCAATAATATCATAAAATTGTTTATAGCTTGTTTGATCTAATCTTTATATCTAATATCTTTTCTATAATTTTTTTTTATATTTTTTTTCTAAATATTTTTTTTTATGGTAATAGCT